GATTACAATAATTATAATACCCTTTACTATAATTTATATTACTATTTGGGACAACTATCTTGTATATTGCAAGATAATAATAATAATAATAATAATAATAGCTTTATTAATACTTTTGCCATACATCTATGGGTGTACAAGTCATTTGCTATGCACTATGCATATTTAGTAATTTTTAAATATCCATGTATGTTAAACCTTAAGGTAAAATATTTTTATTCTCAACCAATTTTGTTTTTAATTCTTATTATAATAAGATTTTTTCCATTACTAATAAGTATAATAAATTTTAAAATATTATGTTGCCATTTTAATTATAATATATTTTTATATGTTAACAATTAAAAATTGTAACATATTTATTGTACTTTTTAATTTACAAAAATTTTATGAGAAAGAATTGAACCTACACCTCGCCAAAGTTTTTTGTTTTGAGTGCGTTCCATCAACTTCAAATACCGACAGACAGGTGTTTTGACCTATATTGGGTATCATCAGTGTCGACACGACACTGTCGAGCAACTTGTAGTAGTGGAACACACCCAAAACAAAGAAATACCTGAGCTTATATAACATGGTTGGTAAGCCAACAGAGGCGAGATGTAAGAACATCACGTGATCCACACCGTCTAACAACGCGTCGCGACGTGGCTTGCCGCAATCGGTACATACTATGCAACCAAGTAGGTTCAATTCTTTCTTATAAGTATTACCAGTAATGGGTCAAGAAAGTTTATTGAAGAAACTAAAAAAATTTGATGTTTAAAATGTCATGAGTTACTATATTGTATATTATATTTAAATATATTGTTTATTTACGTTAAACATAAAAGTATCTTTATTTTTACTATATTTTTTATTAATGTGTAATATATTATAATATTAGATGTACACCTTACATTTGATTAAATCAAATAGTAAATATTACTATTTGTAGATAGTAAAATCAATTTACTATACGAACATATTAAAAATTAAAATATATATTATACATTTATGATTTAGTAATATTGGTGTAATCTTTACTAAAATTGTATAATAAAAAATAGTATTATGTATTACAATTTTAATATTGTATTGACGAATATATAATATTGTTACCCTAAAAATTTGTTAAAGTAAATTTTACTATATTTTTTTACTATCTAAAATTTACTATACATTTCTCTCCATGTAGTAATATTTTACAAGAAAGGCATCTTATTTTAATGATTGTCAATGTGTATTTAGATTACTTCGTGTTATGAAAATATTTACGATAATGGGCGTTTTAAAGGTGGAAGTAGAAAAAATAAATTACGTTTAAATGTCCAAAACAATCCAAATAAAAATTTAACGCCGGAACTTGTAACAATGGGGTAGTTAAATTTTTTCTAACCTATACTTTTTATGGTTTTATTCAAGGCGTTTTGTAATTTTAAACATTTCTGTGAAATCGGAATTTCAATTGAGTTTACCGATTTCGAGATATTTACAAAAAAAAAAACTCCTAATTACGTCACTAGGCTATTGACAACGTTGCCAGCTTTTTCTATGGTTGCCAGTGTGTTTAGTTTAAGATTCTTACGATAGATGGCGCCACGTTATATTATTTTAGTTTTAAAACCACTTGATCTATAATTTTAGTTGAAGAAGAAGAAGAATTGATTTTTTGACGTTTCTTTTTTTCGGGTTATGTTTTTTTTTAAATTTAGATTATTGAAAATCAATGTTATTGTTATGTTATTTGTAATTGATATTAGATAAGTGATTTATTAATAACGGACTCCAAAGCAGAGGAATATTGTGGAATGGTTGGTTACATTGAACATTGGAGCTTTTAAACAAATAAAGTAAGTACCTATAATTATAATCATATTTTGTCGTAAATGCATTTCATTAGTTCTTTATATTCTTTTAGATATATCTTGGACTCTAAAATACCAAACAGTAATATGATACCTCGTAATAAGGAAGATAGGTACTTAATGAATTTGGTGACCATCTTTCACTCAACTGACAGTGACAGTATTTGTACATAACCTCTTCGGGTATTTTCTGACACAACCGAATGAAATCATTAACAAGACAACTTGACAACAGGGTAATTTTCAACCAATAGAAATCTTAGAATGTTGGTCACATGGCGAGGTTTGTGACGTCATAAAAATTTATATTTTTTGTAAATATCTCGAAAACGGTAAACTCAATTGAAATTCCGATTTCACAGAAATGTTTAAAATTACAAAACGCCTTGAATAAAACCATAAAAAGTATACACGGTGCTGTTCTGAGAGGTGATTTTTGGACTTTCTGTGAAACCTAATTTTTTTTATATTCTTGTTAATTAGGTCATAACTAAAATTTTAAGAGCAAAATAAAAAAAATTTGACGGTTAATTTTGTTTTAATTGGATGTTTATTAAAAATATGTATGCACACTTTCAATTCTCCAATTAAAACTTGCGATTTTATTTAAATATTATCATAACTTTTTAAATCAGATTAAAGATTAGTTAATTTCCTAAAAAAAGGTCTATAAATTTTTTATATCTTTTACTGTTTTGTTGTAATACACGTTTAAAGTTTTAATTTAAGGTTAAATGTATAGTATACATTTATTAAAAAATAATTCTAAGGGTGCCAAATTTTATTTAGGGCCGATTTATTCATTTTTGATTTATTTGACGAATAATTTCTTTGGATACTAGATATTGCCAAGACATGAAAGTTATCGGCCCGATAAACTTTACTAAAGATGAATAAACCGGTCCTTAGTTAAATTTCATGAATTTCTTCGGAACTTTTATTACAATTTTTCATTTTTGTTTATAAAAAACACTTTAAAAAACTAAACAAAAATTATAGAATACGTATACTGAAAATGAAAATTCAAACGTCAAATAAATTTTTAATAGATCTAAGTTTCATGGCAACCTTTAAGGATATATTAATTAAGGGAACATAAATGTATACGTCAAAGGTTAGATTAAAAGTTTGAACGTTTATTGCAACAAAACAGTAAAATATATATAAAAAAATTGTAAAAACCTTTTTTTTTAGTTATGCAAGTATTAAATATTTAAATTAAATCGCTAGTTTTAATTGGATAATTGATAACTAAAATTTTAAGAGCAAAATAAAAAAAAATTGACGGTTAATTTTGTTTTAATTGGCTGTTTATTAAAAATATTATGCACTCTTTCAATTATCCAATTAAAACTAGCGATTTAATTTAAATATTTAATATTTGCATAACTAAAAAAAAGGTTTTTACAATTTTTTTATATATATTTTACTGTTTTGTTGCAATAAACGTTCAAACTTTTGATCTAACCTTTGAGGTATACATTTATGTTCCCTTAATTAATATATCCTTAAAGGTTGCCATAAAACTTAGATCTATTAAAAATTTATTTGACGTTTGAATTTTCAGTATACGTTGTAATGGTTCCGAAAAGAAACACCCTGTATAGATTTATTAGAAAACATGTTATTATAATTTTATTTTTCGAATTTTAAAATAGGATTAAGCTATAAAACTTTATTTGAAGGCAAAGAAATTTTACAGATTTAGGTAGAAAATTTGCCAAACAAACAAGAAAGGTACGCGCTAAGCTGAAGGAAGAGTACATCTGGCATGCAGATTGGGAGAGGAATTTCCTTAGAGGTAAACGAAAAAGTTTTTCGAAAAAGAGAGATGCGGCAGAAGCAGTTTGAATTCGGTGCAGTACAGTTCGTTTCTTTGGTAAAATTGTAAAAGTAAATTATTGTTCTAAAATCATTGTTAAAAGTGTTATTAGTGTATTCTACAAGGTTAGTTCTAATTATTTAATCTATTTAAATGTGTAGTAAAATTAACTAAACGTAATATTGTGCATTTTCAAATTGTTAAGCTTATTATTATATAATTATTGCTATTATGAGTATATTTACCCTTTTCTATTACGTTTAGCTGTATTTTACGTTATTTTTAATCCTTTTCTTTTAGCTATTACCACCCCTATTCTCGCTTTTATTATTATCACTATAATTTTAATGCTTTGCTATGTTCAATGCTTGTACCGCTCCAATGTAACCTTGTATTTTGTTTGTGCTTAACCCATCATTTTGTACCCTTTTTCTATAACGTGGTTAAGCATTGTTTTATGATCAGTCCAAAGTTATTAATGTATTGCGAAATTACTCGGTGCTTAACCAGGAGTGCTGACCGTTATTGTTCCAACTTTGAGTACTCCTTGTTTGTGTGCGTGGGCCTTTGTTGTATGGACTAATATTTTTCTCCCGTGAGGGGACAAGGTTGCCCTAGGTTCTCTAGGGTTGCTTCGCTTTTCCCCGACCCTTCAACTAAACTAGGCGGGTTGCCTCCCATATTGGGACCTCGTTACATTCTGGGCCTAGCCCGGCTAACTAACCCCAATATTCTTCAGTTTTATATCTTTGTTTAAATGCAGTATCGAGCCATATCGCAAATACATTAATTTGCGTAATTTTTAAAGTACAATGCCTGACCGCGTATTCCTTTGCTACTTCATAGCCGACCAGGGTTTTTTCTCAGGCTCTTTTTCCCTGGCCGAACCCTCCTAAGAGCCACCCCTTGCTTGTTTGTAAAAGTTAACGTAAATTAAATTGGGGTAAATTAAGCCACTGTATTTTATTTCTTATAAACCTATTTCTCCCACGTATCATTCTTAAAGCAATGCATCTAATAAAACAAGTAAGTAAACACAGCGTAGAGGTCCAAATTTGGGTAAGACGATCACGAGCGAAAGCCACAAAATATTTAATTTATCAATTTTTCATAAAACTTGTTTTAAACGAAACTGGGGGTAAAGAGAAATCTTTACAACGTATTCTATAATTTTTGTTTAGTTTTTTAAAGTGTTTTTTAATTATAATTAACAAAAATATATAAAAAAATTAGGTTTCACAGAAAGTCCAAAAATCACCTCTCAGAACAGCACCGTGTATAGGTCAGAAAAAATTTAACTACCCCATTTAAGAGAAAGCTAAACGACTTACTAAGGATCTCAATGGTGTGGATGAGGTCTCCTTGCGTGCCGTCGCCAATTTGGCAGGTGTAATCGCCCTGATCCGAGTGCTGGATGTCCTTAAGCTGCAAATTGAAGCCGCCCGTTAACGATATCCTCGGGTCCATCGAGATCCTCGTTTGACCGGCGGTCAACAGAGTCGCTCCCCGTTTCCAAACCACAGCGAAAGGACCTGGAATTATTGATAGTAACTATTAGAGTGGGAATTTATATGCAATTACATAAAAATGCAACACTTTGATAGAAAACAATGTAACTAACCATTTTGATCATTTTATTCAATTTATGTTAAAAATACATCCTAGAGAAAATAATATAATAGTTTTTAATATCATACACAGTAAAAATAATAATAATAATAGTAATTAGTAATAGAATTTGCATTATTATAAAGTAAATTTACGTTAAAATAACACTCTTCCAGATGCAGAAACGCATTGATAAATATAGTTATTATTATTTGTCCAAAAAACAGTTCTATACCGTTTACAAAAACATTTAATAATTTAAATTTCGTGAAACTTTACAACAAAATTGTTTTTATATCTACATAGTTAATATGGAGTTTCATCAAGTAAAGGTCGAAACAATTAATAATTCATAGAAATTTTGTAAATTTTACAAATAAATCCCTTTTCGTTTAAAATAAAACTTTTTTTATAATATTAATAAAATTTTGTTACCATTGCAAAACAATAGTATTTATAAATATTAAAAAAGTCTTTTTGTAGCAATACAAAATTTTGTTATTGTTCTTAACGTAAGCTTTTAACAAAGATATTCTAACTGAAATAAAATTAATTTGAATAGTAACAATAGTAATTTAAAAAATACAAATATGCCATAGTAAAATGAACAAATTTTACTATAACAACTGCGCATTACTTTATGTAAGCGCAATTCACACACAACTATAGATTTAACAAAAACATTTAAGTTCGACAAAGATGTAATATAAACATAAAGTATTTCTTATTGCCATGGCAATATGATAACAACTATTACATTGTTGGATGAACATTTTTTTTATAAAAGCTCAACATTGCTGCTTCATTATAGTAAATGAGAATTTTATTAACAGTAAAAAAAGTTTATTCTGTAAATAAAAATAATCTTTTTTCTTTGACAAATCGTAGGTTTTTGTCCCAATAAGACACTGAAAATTTAATAAAAAAGGTACCTTAGGTGGTACATTTTTTTATAGCCATTACAATTTTAAATTTAAGTTAAATAATATTATTTTATTAATCGCTTACAAAATTACTTTCATTATAAGTTCATGTACATTTTTCTGAGTGTATAAGGAATCCGAATCCAAAAATAATATTTCAACGAAATAATTTGTTAAATAATAAAAAAATATTGAAATTAAAAAAATGCTTACAAAATTGCACATTACCTTCACAAAAGTTGTTCAAATAATTACAAACCCTGGTTTTATACAAAAAATATGATAAAATTTTACAAAATAAAATAACTACAAACTAATGTTACTAAATATAATTTTTATAACTGTGTGCTGAGCTTAAATGCCGATGCGTAGCGAAGGCCTACAATTGAGCAAAGCACAAAAAGACACCTCTCAGCCAAATGGAATGTGCAATGTTTTATATTCAAGGCATAATTTTATTTGTCAAACTATATAAGTATCAAGGGGTAAGAAGCAAAAAAAAAGTGGACTTATTTACCCAAGTTTTTGCTATATACAAAAATCTGTATACTTGTTTCAATGTTTGCATTCGAGAATGCAAAAGAATTTCGCAATCAAGTATCAAAAAACATTTTTTCTAAAAAAGTATCCCATAGTTTATAAATTTCTAAAAATGCGTCATATTATGTCAAATGTCATATTTTATACAAACGCCCTGTACTTGTACTTGTCAGAGAAAAACGAAATGCATTTTTTATTTGTTTATTTATACATATTTTATAAATATATATTTTGAAGAAGCTACTACTAACCTAGGTTTTAGGAGTTTATAATGCCACCGCTTTCGGTGCTGTAATGAGATACTTTATCCCACCCAAAACTTTGATTTTATATATAAAATCAAAATTTATAATCAATCTATAGGTTTTCTATACTTTAAACAGCATAATATTTCGCCTCTTGGTTATAATATTTTTATGATTTTTCTGGTCTTACGAGACTTTTCTGGCAATAAATTTTGTTTAACACCAAAGAAAATCCTTTTTCTCTTGTTTAACATTAACAGCCGCTTATTGTAAATAAGTAAATTAAGGACGGCATGGCGAATCGATTTTGACATTAACTGTCAAACCAATGACTGTGATACCAACTATCTAAAGTAAAATTAGACCAAATTAAATTTAAGGTATAAAATTAATTTTTTTTATAAAATTTTTGCAAAATAGATAAAATAGCATAGAGAACTTATGTCATAAGACCTTTTGTCGCACTCGTCCATTACATTATAAATTTTAGACCGGTTTTAATCATTTTACAGTTTTAAGGTAATTTACAGCCCTAGCAAAAATAAACCTAGTATCTAAAAAAGACAAATTGTTACTCAAACTCTACCAAACATTATTTTTATACTCGCAATAATAATTCCACTTATATTTATCTACAACAATTTTCTTAAAAGTCCATATAGTAAAATCTAAATCATTTAATAAAATTTCTCCCTGCATGTAACGTTTCAAAAAGAAATATAAAATGCAACATAAACCAGAAGTTATTTTTTATTTCAAAGTAATTTCCCACACGATTTTAACGAGTATAGGCGACGTTTAAAATAATGAAAATTTTATTTGTATGATATTAAAAAGATTTCGTTTATATTTACACCTACAGATTTTATTTGCCGAGTAAATTTATTTCTTTTTAATAGATATAAAAAACTAAAATTTTCAGGAATTTTTACACAAAAGTTAATTAAATCCTTTGATATCTGTTGTATCGGCAAAATATTGGAAATTTTTAATAAAAATCATACACATATTTCCTCTTTGTTATAAATTCTTTGCAAAAATCGTTTTTAATAGTGACGTGATTTACTTTTAACACTGGTGCGAAATTAAAAAGAAATTAACTTTCTGCATGAGATACGTTTTATCCCGGGCTTCTGTAAAAAAATTGTCGATTTGTTCCATGGTCAATACTTTTTCGGTCGTTATCCTTCGGCCATTCGCTTCAAAAAGCAACAAGCTTGTAATATTTGCTGATGTCCTGGTTTTTTACTTTTTGCATCGCCTTCAACTTGACCAAAAGTCCACAGAGAAAAAACACTCATTTATTATTACAAAATATAAGTAACGAACACATTTCTTTATAAGTACCATAAAGTTATAATTTTTAAATTTTGAAACATAATAAATAATGGTAATTTCATATCATATCAACCAAAAAAAAAGGTAAATTTTATTTTCTTTATCTCCGATTTTGATTATTTAAGGTAAAGTTGTTCTACGTCCTGTAACACTCGAAAACCAAAAATTGGCAGGGCCAACAAAACAATTTTTTACGCAAACACTTTTCATACCAAGTATTAACAAAAGCACGACTAGGTTTACCAGGATTGATTAATAGATTACTTAAATCTGGACGAGAGACACCAAATTCCTTAACAAACATTTTATCATCGAAAGAAAGACGACTAAGTGGAAAGTTCAAAAGAAAGTCAACAATATCGGTACAATTTCTCACCGAAATATCCATAATGACTAAATTCACATAAATCACCAAGTTCAATTTACTAAACCCACAGAATAAACCACTTACAAAAAATCATAAAATAGACAAACTCACAGAAAAAGAATAAACAAAATATTGCGTAAATAACCACAGATTTGTTATTTAAACAGTTCAGAATTTTATAACCAAAACAAACCTAAAGAAGGAATCTGTATTTTTTTATTGGTTACTGTGATGCCTACAAGATGGCGATAGTGTTAAAATATGTTTATTTTAGAATAGAAATATAATTTTGATTAAATCGATTTATTATAAGAAATAATGCCATTTATTATTGAATTTTGAAAAACGTGTGAAGTATAATTTATCTAAAATTCCGCAACAGTGTTGCCACAACACCTGCTTATTTTCTTGGATGTAGGCGTGCTTGCCTCGTGTATGCTAATACGAGAGAAGGAGACAACTATGATATCGCATTGTAATAGAACGAGACAACGGGGCTAACGCCAATCGTGAGTCTAAATTAGTTTAGGCATGCTTCTGAGCCAACCATCTAGCTATAAATATTAGTTTAAATTGCGGTCGTTTCAAATTCAAATAATTTAAATGTTGCTGGGTATTCCACGTATAAAATCAATAAGTTTTATTGACTATTTCACAATTATGTAATCCAAATATTAAAAATGTATAGTATATTATAGAAAGTAAAATATTTAAATTATACTTAATTTTTTAATTCTCTATGCCACTGGAACTGCTTATCACAGAGCATTGAGTAATAGCTTGTTTTAAAGGTCTTTTGAAGCCCTTTCCGATAAGTTATCACATGATATACTTTTTCTAAAAAAAATGGGAATTTTTGAAAAAAAAAAGTTTTTGGAAATTTTTCAAAAACACCATTTTTAATTTTTTTCAAAAAATGTATTCTTTTTATTTATTTTTAAGTATGATAATTACCAGATTTTAGAATGGAGAAATGAAAAGTTCAGTTTAAAAAACAATATGGACATATGGACAATATGAACAATATGAATGATATCGAACTTTAGAATATTGTTAGATCTAATCACTAGGGTATTTAAAAATGGTAGCTGTCCACCTTTTTCCAATTCAAAGGTGAATTTAATATTAGGAATACAATTAATTATTCAATTTGATCTACGAATTTAACTGGGTAGTTTAGTACTTATAGCTTTGTTTTAACAGAAAGGTTGAGATTTTAATTTAATTAGTTGTTTAAAATGAACGATTTAAATCATGATTTTAATCAAGGGATTTTAATAAAAAATCATGAAAAAAATTATAAAAAAATCGCCCCCAAAACAAAAACAAATGATTTTACTAAAAATTAAAAAAATACATTTTTCAAATAATAATTTTAAAAAATTGTAGTGACACCCTGTGGGGTTTTTGTAAGTAGGAATATTTTTACGCTTGTTCTATTTTCTCCCTTGGCATTCTCTGTAAGTTTCGACATGCATACTTCTATACTATTATATACCTAATTATGTTTA